GCCCAAGCCAAATCCCGGACCCAATGGCAACCACATTTACGGCCCGAACATCGAGCTCTTGACAGGGGATGGGATTGTCCCTTTCGGGCTGGAGCTTCTGGCCCGATCAATGGACCCGGCCCGAAGCAACCAGGACAAGGTGTTGAGGGCAATAATCGAGATCAGTCGAGCAGGTGGGGCCCACGGAGTTGTAGAAGGGCAGTATCGGGAGCTCGATGCGGAGGAGTGTGAAGAAAATGTGATGGAATACGTGTGCCAGAAGAAAGAAGGGGAACTTCACGGGTGTGGGGCGGCTTGCGGGGCCATATTGGGAGGGGGAAACGAGGAGGAGATCGAGGGGTTGAGGAGGTTCGGGGTTTACGCGGGCACGATTCGGGGATTACGGGCCTCGACAAGAAACGGTCCCGGGATCGAAGAAAATATTCGAGGTTTGAGGGATTTGGCGATTAAGGAGCTCGAGATTTTTCGAGGGAAGGAGCTCGTTGAGGTTGTTGCGGGCCTTTGTTGATCGGTAGAGTTCACGTCAGGTTTTTTTACTGTTGGATCAAACACACAACTCACACACACATATGGGTGTGTGTTTGGCCTCCTTGTCTTGTGATAGGGAGATTGGTACTGCAAAATAGTGAATGTTTTTTTTTTTTTTTTTAAATCTCTTTTATTGGATCCTTTTGTTAAGAATGTTGTTCAATGTTCATGGTGCAAAAAGTATTATCCTAATAAGACTTGTTGGCATAACATAAAACTAAACCAGCAAAGTCAAGTGTGTATGAAAAGTATCTGCATAAATAAGGGGAAAAAAAAATCTAATATACCCTCTTGAACAATCAAGTTTCTTTTTTCTTTTCAAGACATAACTTTGTAAATTAATAAAATTTGTGCTATTTTCAAATATTTTGTTTATTTTATTTTATTTTTAATATATTTCACCTGCTCTATATGTCCAAATCATCTTGTCCACATCATTTTTACATGCAAGTGTTTTTCATCCATAACCACTCATCTCCTCTTTCTCACCTACTTTCAAAGCAATAGGGTCTGTACTGTACTTCCACTGTCTCACCTAATTTTAAAGCAATAGGATTTTGTAATCTGTCTGGCCTATCGTGGACCGACCATTTTGAATCGGATAGGACTGCAAACGAGTCGAGCGACTTGCGTGCTCGAGTCAAAGCTCTAGCTTGAGTTTGACCCGATCTTGAGTCGACCTCGAGCAGCTCGAGTATGATATCGAGTCGATCTCGAGCCCAAATTTTCGAAGGTCGAGCGACTCGAAATGTGCGGTAAATACTTAAATGCCCTTTATATATATGTAATTCACAAAATTGTCATAGATGCATAATTTATAGTTATTAAAATTCGAGCCGAACTCGAGTCGATCCCGAGCATCGAACCAATCTCGAGCATTTCCATTTGTTTCATGAGTCGAGCTTGAGAGTCATTTTCATGGCTCGTCAAGCTCGAGCAATGAAAAAAAAAATTGAGCTCGAGCTCGACAAGGTCTATGCTCGACTTGTTTACAGCCCTAGTTGGGGATGAGGATAGACAAGGAATCCGTTTTCATATTCAATGGTCAATTGGAGCATTTAATCCTTCCGAAAAACGAGCTCTTTACCCACCGACACAGCCTCGCCTCTGGGGAAACGTTTCCCTGGCCGGAAACAAAATAGTGATAGGTACAGTACATTTCACAAAAGAAAGACGATATCATCAACTTTTACATATCAGTAAAATACTGTCATATGGCAAAATCTTTTCCAGACAACTCGAAGTGTAATATATAATTGAAGTATATTTTCCGGAGAATGTCTTGATCGGAGCTGACATGCATCAATCAAGATTCACTTCTCTAACATCTTTTATTCGAATCTGCGGATGATCCCTTTAGATAAAAATGCATTCTCTTGTGTTGAAGTCATAGAGACGCAGATAACTTGCAATTAATGTCATTGCCATCGAACACCAAGTCAATCAATAATCGACACTTAAGAATCACACAGACACAAACAACTTGCAATCAGGTCATTGTCATCAAACAGAGAGTCAAGTAAGTTATCAGACAGTTCATGATCATAAAAGCCTCAAGAAAAATTCTTCCCTTTTAAGCAGGCAATATGTGTAACATTTACTGCAACCAAACCAAACATATGTTATTACAATAGAATCATCTTTAGCAACCGAATATAGCAAAACGCTTGCTGGCTGCTTTATTATCATCCCAACATGCACAAAACAGGTAAGGATTCTCAAAAGACCAAAGCAAATCACTGCACTGTAACAAAGTACAACAAAAAAACACAGCTTTGGATCACTTCCGCCTCTCCATACACAATTCAAACTAATGCCTTCCAAGTTCCGACCCGAAATCCAACTCCCAATTTCCGGCCACAAGCATAAGCTACGTTTTGTATCTCCAACTAAAAACAACTAAAGAAGAAAAAATTATAATCATCATATGGGGACACTGCTGACAAGCCTAGCTCCAACTCTATCAAGCTTCTTGATCATGGCCATGGCTTTCAAGTTTCCTTCTTTGAAGAAGGCCTCCACCATTCTCTTCCCAATCTCTGCACCCATCTCTTCATCGTCCGTCACAGCCACTGCAGTTGGGCCGGCCCCACTAATTGTGCACCCAAAAGCTCCGGCCTCGATTGCAGCCTTCTTTACAGCATCCATGCCTGGAATCAGTGGGGCCCGCCTGGGCTCGACAATCTTGTCCGATGACAGGGCTTTCCCCAACCCAGTGAGGTCTCCTTGCAGAACAGAGGCAACCAGAGCTCCGGCCTGGCTGCAGTTCCAGATATGGTGGGACATGGTGATTTCCGGCGGCAGTGCTTCTCTCATCTTCTTGGTGGGGGCCTCGAATTCTGGATTCACCAGAACAAAGAAGAGGCTCCGGTCGTCCGGGAACCTGAGCTGGACCAGCTCCAGGGGATCGTAGCTCCGGATCAGGACGAAGCCCCCCAAGAGGGATGGGGCCACGTTGTCCGCGTGGTAACCGGAGACCTTGGACTCCGACTCCAGGCCGGCCAGCACGAGCTCCGACGGCGAAAGGAGGCCTCCGAACAGCTCATTGACGGCGACGGCGGCCGCGGCGGCGCTGGCGGCGCTGGAGCCGAGGCCGCTGCCAAGCGGGAGGCCCTTCTCGAGAGAGAGGGAGAGGCCCACGGATCTGACGCGGAGCATCTTCATGACGGCTATGGCGGCGATTCCGGCGCAGTTCCAGAGGGGATTATGGCTGAGCCTGGAACCGGCGCCGGAGATATGGGAGATGGAGAGCTCGCCGGGACGGACGCCGGGGTCCACACGGATGCTAACGTGGTCTCCGATGCCGTCGACAGCACAGCCGAGGAAGTCGAAGCCCGGGCCCAGGTTGGCTACGGTGGCCGGAGCGAAGGATTTGACGGAGGAGAAGATGGGTTGGGGATCGGAAGAGGATTTCTTGGCGGAAGACGATAGGGCGAGAGCGGACGGGTTGAATCTCAGGCGGGTTTGGGGTTTCGACGGCGACGGGACGAAGGAGTTGGAATTCAGCTTTAGCTGAGAACAGCAAATGGCGGCGGCGGTCATTGATGGGGGAGTGTGGAGGAGACCGGCGGCCGCAAGATTTTGGTTAAGATCTGTTGTCGGTGGGTCACTGTTTCTTGTTGCACAAATTCAGTCTAACATTAGGAGGGTCTACAAAATAATAGGGACCCAACCTCATTTGAGTGTTATGTACATAATATACATTTATTATGTACTTATAACAATTTTTCACAAAATAATTATGCTTGGTCATATCAAATACTTAATAAAGCTATACGGTTTTGCTATGAAGCCAACAGTTAGCGTTATAGTGGAGTCAACCTTCTATATACAACAAGTAAACCTACTATATCCTATGATTACTTAAATAACACTAATATAATTTTATTAATATGATATGTTTATTTGTTGTATATAGAATGTTGACTCCACTATGGAGTCAACTGTTAGCTTCATAGCAAACCGGTAAAGCTATATTACTAATTTTTTTTTATTTTTTACAAAAATACAATATTCAATAAAATTATACATAAATTATTTATAAACTATATATAAAATAAAAGATAATGTAAATTAAAAAAAAATATGAAAATATATTATTCATAAAATTCAAGGATGTTTTAAACTCAATGAATAATATCATGATTGGTATAAAGATTTGAATCAAAGGTTTAGTCAGCTTGCTAACATGGTGGATGACCAAAGTGTGAGCAATAAATCATGTGAAACTGATAGTGAAAAACAACAAACTCTTGACCTATTTGGAGACGTCAGCTCACTATTACAGAAAGAGATTGCAAAGTACATGGCAGGGCAACAAGGTGGAGATTCATCATCTTATGCACATTACACTGATTTTTCAGTTAATAATAATATCATTT